GGGGGGGGGAAGCAAAATAATGAAAAAGGGTCAGGACTGGAAATCTTCTCAAATTCCACACGTGTCCGGATAAAACCTCCAGATGCAAAGGCAGTATATCGGCGTGCTGGGAATGAGAAAGAGTGGTTTCGACATGCTGCTGATGAGCGTCCATTCTCTTTCCATTGCAAACAGGGCCCTGATTAAACGGACATTTGCAACTGGCCTCTTTTTATGTTCAGCATCCAGAAAGTTATTGGATTACTCTGTGTTTCTCAGCCTCGGCAGCTTGAAGATGGGTGGACTTCAACTCCCAGAATTCCCCAGCCAGCTGTGCTGGCTGGGGAATTCTGGGAGTTGAAGTCCACCCATCTTCAAGCTGCCGAGGCTGAGAAACACTGTTCTATGACTTTGCACAGACCCTCCGCTGTCACGCTCAGACCCTGTCACTGAACGCGCACCGAGTGGGAGGGAGAAGCGCCACTCCAAGCGACTGACCTCCGTCCCCAGGAATTTACAGTCTGAATCACGACGAGGTTTGACCTGCGATCCGAGCAAGGCGCCAGGACTGCGTCACAGAGATTCGGTGTCCGAATTCCAGCTCGCCGCCTGCACTCTCGCCCGCCCTGAGTTGCGTCGCTATTTATAAGCAGGTCCCTCCTGTCACTTCCGAAATATTCCTACCCTCAATTCCTTCTCAGTGCAAACAGGCCTCCCCCCGCAAACGTGGCCCATTGCTAATTATAATTCTAACATCAGCCCCATCAGCTCTGCAAGAGGAAGGGAGTGAGAAGATGGAGAAACGCAAGAGGAATGGAAAAAATTAAGGACGGAAAGAAACGCAGGCAGGTTTGTCTCTTTCCTAGAGATTGTTAAATTGTTAATTCTTAATTGTTAAATAGGAAGGGTTTTTTTTTCATTTCATGTAATTTTTCCATGCCTTCTCCACAACAGTTTGCGAAGATTTGCTTTTTTTAAATTTGGAGATGCAATTTTCCCAGATTCCCAATTTCCCATGTCTTTTTTGGAGACCCTTACGCTAATCTCTGCTCCTCTGCCCACTACTTTCTACAACTGGCACAAGTTTCCACTGACCCGGAGCATGAACGCTGGAGAAGGGTGGACCCCCTCACCCGAATCCAACTCTGCCAGCATTTTTACATCCTCCAAAGGACTTAGGCAGGGAGGTTAGACGAACCCATCACTGTAACTGTGTGCTTTTTTAAAGTTTTGGGTAGCGCTTGTCCTCGGCCCCTTTATTTCATCATTCCCTTTACTGCTTTTATAGATTTGTGATTTGTGATTTAATCGGGGGGGGGCGGTATTTATATTTTTATTGTCTTGGTTTTTAATTGTAAGCCGCCCAGAGTCACCCTCTGGGGGAGATGGGTGGCATACAAATTCAATAATGAATAAATACATAAAATAATGGTTGGCTGTTTCCGTATCAGAGTCGCAATTGTGAAACGGGCTGCTGCGTTGATTAAATGAATGCTTCGGTAAACGTCTCTAGCTGCATTAGTTTAGGAAGAACAAATGAGGCCACCATGGAAACCCCCCCAATGAACCCCCCCCAGTTCCCAAACGTTTTTGGCCTGAGATGCTAAGTAATTTTGGCAGCCCAGCAAAACAGCCTGGACTGGCTGGCACACTGTTCCGACTCAAGATAGCCGAACAAACGCATCGTACAGTTTATAGGCCGCCCGGCTCCCGACGACTCTGACCGTTAAAAATAAAAAAAAATAATTACAAAACACCAAAGGAGTCATGAAGCCCCCTCCCAAAAACGTATATCCAAAAAAAAGGAGGCGCTTCTGAGCGGTCCCAGATCACGCTCTGCAAAAAGGAGATGCCCTGCCCCACCACGCCTCTCCGGTGAGGTCAGTTGGCATTTGCGGCACTGAGTCACCGACCAAGCCAAAGAGGAGATCTCAGAAGGATCGGGAGGCAGCCTGACTTCGTAGGGCCTGGATAAACCGACCCTTCGCTTGTAGGGCACGCAATAGCCTCTAGGCACAACGGCGGGGGAAGCTGGTGGCCCCCCTCCTGGTGAAAGAAAGGGCCTTCTTATTTGGATTTCAGGACAATGATCTGGAGCCTCCAAGGACAGAAGCAGTCTACCCCAGAGGGCAAGTTAGGGGCAAGGGGATGCAGGATGCTTTTCACCGTTTTTTGGGGGGAGTTCACAGGCATTGGGTCAGAACCAGTCTTTCTCAACCTCGGCCCTTTAAGACGGTGGACTTCCCCTCCCAGAATTCC